ATGCAGGGGGCATTTTCTACTTTTTTACAGCACATCCATTATCTCCTGGATCTTCACAAGCCTCCTGTGAGGTAGGCAGGGAAGGTATTATTCCAATTTGTACCGAGAAAGAAGATTTAGAGGGCAAAGGAACCTGCTCATGGCTACAGGACTCTTCAAAGCCATGTCAGATCCACACAACAAAGGCTCCCTAATTTGCACGTGCACGTGCATGCACACACATGTACGTAACTTGTGTGTTTATGACAAAAACACGCCAGGATAAAATGAGGGAAAGGTTCAGAGGGTTCCCTGTTGCAATTCCCTCTAGTCCTCTCTTGCTCAAGCTTCCCCGGTTTCTCATATTCTTTTAATCCTCCCCAGGCTCCCAAGTTATTCCCACTTTCATATTTATGCAAAAATATCAGACTACTTCTCTGTGTCACCCACCCCTCCAAAGCTCCTGCTTCAAAATGCTAACAGCCAAGCAGCACATCAAAGCTAAGGAACAACTGAATAATCCAAAGATTCTCCCCAGTGATATCCAAAGGACTTCTGATTTCCTTCAATTGCACAAAGGATATTTTGCAGAATGCTTTCTCTGAATGTGAAGAATATTTTATCAAGCTCAAGGTATTTTTAGGGAAAGCTAGTTTGTGAAAGGTTTCACTCTGATAAGTCAGCTTCCTGGCCCTCCTTTAGCACATGTACTGTCAAGCCCAGGGCATGGACCATTGGCTCAAACTTATAGCGATGAACTGTCTGGCCCTTTTGAGCTCAGGAACAAGATTCAGGATTCTAACTAGTAAAAACTAATACAATCTAAAATTCACATGGATCGTTAACTTCTTACTGCCAGTACCTGGAAGGCTCCCAACTTGATGAATTTAATCAAATCGATTGTTTCACAAATCAGTATAGCAAAGTAATCTCTAAAGTTTAAACATTTTTGCTTTTAATTCTATCAGTGAATTGAAACACCAAGTTACTTCCTCGATATCAACCTATCCTTTACTACTCAGATCACAATGAACACTAAGTCTGACCGGGGTTGAGGGGTAGATGCCAAATAAACACTGGCTTAGGAATCTGATAAAAGCTAGACTTTGGCTCTGTCAAATTGTGCATCTGAAGTACACACAGTTCTATATACAATTTCATAGAGTTGTGAGACCCCTAAAACCTACCCTTGAATCAAGACTAAGAATGTACAGTATGAAAATAACCCAATGTGTAAACTTAGGAAAGGTGGAAGACTGGCAGCAGACGGGACCAAATGAAGAACAGAAAAGCCCGCTAGAGCGTGACAGGAGAGAGCAGGTGAGCAAGAGCCAGGGATTCCAGAATTGGGTGCAGGACTGTGAGGCTCCACTCCCCACACACTCTCACTTCAAAGAGCCCCCTAAATCTTTACAGGACTCACTTAACAAAATACAACAGTTGTTACAGATGTGTCCCCCTCCACTTCAAATACAAGGAACTCTAAAGTTTGTATTAGCTAAATTAGTTGTCCAGGGTCAAATATCAGCACATGGCAGAACTGAGACCCAGATTCAAATCCTTGGGTTATTCTATGACAAACCACTGGCTCCTCAACAGAGAAAGAATTCAGAGAAGACAGAAGAAAGGAGGCAAAAGTAGGAAAGAGAAAGAGGGAAGCTGGGTGAGGAAAATAACAGGATATAAAGACAAAAACAAGAAACAAAGTAACAGAGAGAACCTAAGGGAACAAAAGGACTGTCTGTCATCCTAGATGTAAAAATAACTCTGCTCCAACTGCTAGCTGGTCATAAAAAGACAGTAGAAAACTATCCTCTCAAACCTCAAAATCTACAAGATAGTGAGATACCCATTCAGACTGTGAAAACAGTAAAGAAAATACTGAGATGGAAAGAGACAAGGGAAGACATCACGATGTCCCCAGTAACTACAGGAGAAGGGTGACTCTTTCTGGTGTTCTGGGCAACACTGGAATGAACCTCATATATCTGCCCTCATTAGTACAGGGGCCAAAAGTAAGAGAGGGATGCTTACAACTGGAGTTTTCTAAAACTTAAACTAAATAACAATCCTTGCTTCTAGTACTAGGCTTCCCTTGTTGGTGCAATTTTTGGGGGGGGGGGTACCAGGAATTGAACTCAGGACCTTGCACTTGCGAGGCAGGTGCGGTGCCACTGAGCTAAATCCCTGGCCCTTGACTTTTTTTTTTTAATGGAGTTAAAAACCTACTGTGGTTGAAGTTAATTTGCAAACATGACTTTATTAATGTTTGTTTCTCTTCACATAAAACAAGAGATGTTTAAATTGTTACTCTAGGAAACTGTAAAGCAGCTTAAGCTCCGCAGGGTTGATTTTGTGTCAAAAAAACCAAAACAAACAAATGAAAACATTCCCACAGAGTGCACTCAAGCCTAAAAGGAAAGACTTCCTTTATCTTAAAGCAAAAATCCACCAAGAAGTGCCACAGGGAACACTACTCCAAAAATTATACACAACCTCCAAAAGTAAAACTGAACACATCACGGACTTCAAAAGAATTTCTGAAAAAGCAAATTTGCCCAGCAAGTACCCCTTTCCACAGGCTACCGTTTCCCAAAGGGAGACGGGAAAACAGAGTGTGTGGGGTATGGACCTGGCTGGGAAAGCAATGAAACATCCAAGGCTGAATCCAGAACCTTGCTGGCAAGAAGTAGAACCTCAGCATGTCCCAGATCCTGTACACCCCAACCCAGAGTCACCTAAGTCCTTCCATAAGAGCACAAAGGGCAGTGCTGAGGGCTTGCTGGCCCCACTGGCAGCCAAGAAAAGGAAAGGCGGATGAGGTTGAAGAGACTCACTCTCCCCAAAAGACAAGTCTTCTGCACAAGTAGAAAGTCAGACATCAGGAGAGAACCCTTCATCACAGACAGAAGACATCTTCAGACAGGAGCAGCGCTACAGTTTAAATGTTCAGACTTGTGCATCCTGGTGTAGAATGAATACGTTCTGACAAAACGTAAAGAGCTAACATCAGATGGAAGGACTAGCAGTAGCACAGCAAGGGAGGGAAGTGGCTCCCACAGGCAATGTAATGGCTTTGCAGACTCTTTCCCTCTACCTTGTCTCCTGCTGCTCCAGAATCTCCAGAGGTGGAGATCAGAACTGAAAGACAGACTTCTTCCTTCGCCCATTCCTTCTTACACCCCTGAGAGCCAGACTCTGCACCACGTCTTCCACAGGCACAGAAACTTATATACCCCCAGGGCACTATGTCTACAGGTAAAATAAATGACTGTGAAAGCTTTTGGGGTCCTGTGCATAAAATGTGTCAGTGTGCTTTGAAAGCGATTTCCCCTTACTGGCCTTACCAAGTGCATTCACATTTAAACATTCAGAGCCACTGCCATTTTAAAACACACTTCTGCCTAGCACTGAGAAAGCCAATTTAAAAAACTGTCCACGTGGGCGCAGGAAAAACTCCTAAGGGAGGAAACAGTGAGGAGGAACATTGAAGCTGGTGCAGCCAGATCAGTAATGAGCAATTTAAGGATTTAGTGGCAACCTTTCAATAGTGTTTCATTTTTAACAACAAATGTCATTGTGAGCACATTTGGTCCCAAAAGACACTGCGTTTTAAACAGGCTCTCTTCTGAGCAGTTGAGAATAGAGCATCTATGAATATAATTTAGAATATACTAAGCAAAACAAATATATTTGTTAAAATACTGGTGTGATAAAAAAGAACAAGTTTTAAATAGGGAAAAAAGTACTTTTGGCTTTGTTTTCTGTTCTTTGTGCAAAAATACTGAATTGTAGAGCAAGACCAGAGTACCTAAGGGAGAGCTACCTCTCACAACTGGGTTTTTACAGATAAAGAAACTAAAATGGTTTCCTTGAGAAAGGTGTCATATACACTGAGATCTCACATCTATCTGGCTTAATTCCAGCTCCTAAGAAGGCTCCACATAGAAAGTGTTCCTAAGAAAGTGGTCCACTCTTACACTGCTGTCTGAGCTATTATCATACAGGCTTTGTAGTTAAAGGGCAGACAATTCAATCTGTGACAAGCTCACGGGCTCCAAGCATGGAAGAAGAACCTTGGAGATTATCTAGTCCAACTTCCTCACCTCACAGAGGAAAAAATGGCGACCTAGAAAAGTAAAGCAAGCAGGCCAGAGTTCTCCATGAGGTGAAAATGAGTTTCTCCACAGTGGCACTACTACTATATTTTAGTACTAGTGACTTCTTTGTTGCGAGGCTGTCCTCTACTTTGGAGAATGCTCAGCAGTATCCCTGGTCAGTAGCAATCTCCTCCACTCAGCCATGACAGAAATAAGCATGTACAGACATTGTGAAATGTTCTCAGGGAGGGGCTGGGGAAGACAAAACTCTCCCGATTGAGAACCACTGGGTTTGAAATTGGTATGAAAGGCAACCAACTCCCTCTGACTACCATTTTGGTGCTTTTTTAATTAACCACATGAACACCTGTTTTCAAATAAATATTTTGGAACTAGGGAGAAGTGATTAATGTATTAAGCCAACACTAACGCTTATTACATGTCAATGATTTACTAACAAGCTCTTAAAAAATGAATCTTACAAATATAAATTAAATGACATAATAAAATAAATGGCATAAATGTAAAAACATATTAGCATGTAGATATAGGTGAGACGAAGCTATAAAACAGTGTATGTTATTTTGCCTTGGGTAAAATACAGTAACGTCACGTTAAAACATACTTCAAGAGGAATCTCTCTACAAAGTAATAAACTTCCCTACCAGCCTTAAGTTCACTATACACTCTATCTAAATATAGAATCCTATGAAAGAAAAAGAAGGGACCTCCCTGTCAAGTTGTTTAATCATCTTATCCTAAAGAAACTCAGAGAAGCTGAGGTTTCCTAAACTAGTGCTTCAAAATAGTGCCAGATTCCTTTGCACCAGATAAGAAAACTGAGTTTACGAATACATGGACATGCAGTTTCTATTACCAATGGCAGTCTCTGATTTCAGAGATATAATATTCCAATATTACCTGTTTCTCTTTTTCCGGTGCTCTCTATTAGAATTTTCTGATTCACTACCACTGCTTGTGTTACAGCGTGAGCGTGACCTAAAGACACAAAGAAAATCAAAACAAAAAACCCATGTTTATAACAAATTTCAGAAAGGTTCACTTGGTTCTTGGGAATTAATTTTGCAGTAAAATTACTAATCCAAACATAAAGACCTGCATTATCCCTCTCCCAGGCAGCATTTCTGAACTCAGACACCTGAATAAGTCTCCAGCTCAGGGAAACAGCAAGGCAGGGCAAGATGAAAGCGGACTAAGGCAAATGTCATCATGTTCCCAGAAAAAACCACAAAAACCAATTGCTTTCAACAAAACTCCCACATGGCAAAGCTATAAGCCCCTGTGGTGGACCAAATATGGACAAAAGTCTTGTTTCCCTCCCCTTCTTCTCCCCTAAATAGAGATGTAGAATATATTTCCTCTGTCCTTGTATTTATGCGTGTCCTCTGACTGGTTTGACCAACAGAATGAGGTGCATGGTATACTCTGCCAGTTCCAGGGCTGGAGGCTTCTGCTTCCTCCCAGTCACCACCTAAAGATGTCTGGGCTAGCGACAGGGAGACATCATACATGGAGGTCCCACACTGTCAGCCATTCTGCACAGATCCTGACACGAGAGAGGAAGGCAAAGCTCACCTGCCATCTGGCCACAGCCTCATGAGATCTGAGCAAGACTAGATGAAGTGCTTTAATGCGATATGTACGTGTACCAGGTACCAGCTCCCCACGATGGATATATTCATGATGTATCACAAACACGTACTAATACAAATTAATTAATTTTTAGAAAGAGCTGGGCATGGTAGTACATGCTCATAATCACTCAGGAGGCTGAGGTAGGAGGATCACTGAGAATTTGAAGCCAGCCTGGGCTTACATAGTGAGTTCAAAACCAACATAGTGAGACTCTATCTTCTCCCCCTCCAAAAAAAAAAGAAAAGAAAAGAAATAACCAAAAAAAGAACTTTCTGTTCAACCAACAGAATTGTATGTGTATGCTTATACATATGTATACACCCATGTATATATCTATATCTATATCTATCTATATTGTGCCTTAAGCCACCAAGTTTTAGAACATTTTATAATATAGTAATATTGAGCTCCTCTGAGATACAAAGGAGAAGGAAAAAACACGAGAAATGTCTAAGGATGGAAGGAATGAGAGACTAAGAACCAGCTGAAACCAAAACTGGTTTTTTTGGAAAAAAACACAAAACAGATAAGATAGCACCCTTTAAGCAGCCATAAAAATCCCCCCAGAACCCCTCACTCTTGCCTTAACTTTGAGTACTGCTAATTTGCTAGTCCTTGCTCCCTTTCCATGACTCTCTTCCCACTTTGTTTTTGTCTTACCTCCTCCTTTGCTTTAGATCTGAGTCTTCACCACTATTGTGGGCTTTCCTGTGGAAAACAAAGAAGACATGAAAGAATGGAATATTATCAGTTGGCCGTGAGAAGCACACCACAGCAAATCTCACTGCAGTTAATTCCTGTTAACGTATCTGTTCACTAGCCACACAGTTAAGTCATACATGTATGCCCTATGACAGGCCCCAGAAATGCACACCACCAACTGGTATTGAGAAGGCTTTGAGAAGCCAGCAAGCAACCGAGAGGGGCTGCAAACAGACAATAAATACAACATAGGCCTTGTCTGTTGAACTCATGTATCCAATGATGGGTTACTCCACAGTCTGTAAGTCTACAATCCTCCAAGTCAGTTCCTGCAATGGTCTAACTGAATATGAACCCCATCCCTCTGCTGAAATGCTGTATGATTTAAACACACTGCTTTTCTACTTAGTGCCTTGGTTTTAACAGAATCACCCACAAAGTGCTGTTATGAGAAGTAGATGAATGAATATAATTAAAATGCAGAGTAGGACCTGGGCCACTACAGCACTGACTCAATAAAAGCTGTTACTATTGCTACCTCCTCAACTATTCTCATTCTATTCATTCTATCTAATAGGGCTGCCTCTTGACCTCACTACTTTCTACCAGGTCTTCATCTTTCCTCACTGTCCACCTTACTCAGCTTAGATTTCCTAGTCTACCATTTCAATTACATGCATGCCAAAAAAAACACTTCCCTCATTTTTTTTTTTTTTTTTTTTTTGCATAACAGCACACACAGGTGAATCCAGCTACCTAGGTTCTCTGGTCCAGCACCAAATAGCTGGCTAAACAATCCTGGGGGAATGTAAAGGCACATTAGATTCACTACAATCCACAATCATAAACCTCAAGAGGGGCCACACACAGTTCAACAATCTCGCCGCCTTTGTCTAAACCAACTACTGTTTCTGCAAAGTAGTATTCACTCTTCCCCTGGCAACTCTGTGGCACATGACATCTTTGCTTCAGGATATAACTTTGCTTTCTCCTTCCAAAGGAAAAAGAATGGAACTCTTTCATCTTCCTGGTACCAAAAATAAAAACTCACCAACAGCTCCCTGTTTTTCATGGCTCTATCTTAACAACTAAGGTCAGTCTCTCCAGCTGTGCCACGGAGTCCAGTCACCTTGTGTCTTCTCAATGACCTTCATTAACACTGCACCCACCTCTCACATGCAGTGGACCCTTGACTTACAAACTCGATCAGTTCCCACAGGCTGGTTGTAACTAAGTCAATACAGAGACCTGGATGTTGACATGCTATAGATAACAAGAGGCAGTTGAATCTTCCCTTAACCTAATCAACTCAAATTGTTCGTCTGTCAGGTCAGTCCTAACTTGAGGGTCCACTGTATATTCAACTGCCCTCTAACAAACACTTTCAGCTAGATTTTAACATTCTCAAGTCTCTTATTGAAACAACATACAACTACTTTGACTCCACACCCCCTCTCTTTTGTGCACTCTGTCCTCTTGCATTCAAAGCCAGACTTCTTAAGAGAAATGTCTGAGTGCCTTGCTCCATTTATTTCCAGCCTATTATCCTGCTCTTACCAGGGTGGACATGGTTCTTTTATGCCACTACTGTGGCTTACCCTCTCCTCTTGTCCCCAGTATACTTATATCTAATAATCTAACATTGATATGTGTGGCCCTGCCTTTGCATCAAATTTTTGGGTAATGATTTAATATAAACAGAACTACATAAATATTGTTCACAGATTATCTAAATTTCACTCTAGGGATAGAGTTCTATTCTTCTATAGGTACATTAACCACTTACTTAGTTTTCCTTTGATTACCAGTAATTCTTTGCCCACACTTTCCAAGAGAACTGCCAAATTTCCTCCCAATTCAGATAGATACCCAGCTAATCACAAGTTCCACTGCCCTGATCAGTCCCTCTGCCCTCAGGCTCAGAACTGCACCGAGCTTGCTGCACACAGGTTGCTATGATTCATCACCTTCTAGGCAACTCCTTTGGCTTCTCTGTATGACAGACCCCATATTTCTGGGTTTTAGGAGTCCTTGTTTTGGTTTTTGTGTACTGTATCTTCCTGTTTGCAAACAGAACACTTCCATAACAGGTACAAAGTGTGGTTGAAATATATGGTAATGTTTAAATTTTTAAAAATTTATTACAGGCTAGGCATGTGGCGCATGCCTGTAATCCCAGCACTCATGAGGCTGAGGCAGGAGGATCGCCGTGAGTTCGAGGCCAACCTGAACTACATTGTGAGACTCTGTCTCAACCTCGCCCTAAATTTATTGCAGTAAAATACACATTATCATGAATCTCCCTCAAAATATTCCTCCTCACTTTGAACACACCTATTCCATCATTCTTGCCACTTTCTGAAGCAGTTTTGGGACCAATTGTGATGAAAAATACGGTGAACGCTACTGCTGAGTGACTTCCAATGGAAAGGCAGACTTGCATTATGGTGAGTCCTCATCTGCCTTAGTCATCAGATCTGGCCCTGTTTAACTTCTGCTTCTTCCCCAAAGGAAAAGTGATCACAAAAGGTAATGTTTCAAATCAATTCAAGACATCGACAGCATAGTTAAAGACACTCACAAAAAAGACTTCAGAAGTGCTTCAGAAACTGGCAAGAAAGATGGGGTAGGTGTATCAAGCAGGAGGGAGTACTATGAGGGGGATTGATCGCAGGTGTCTTCTGGTAATAAAATTTTAAAAATTTTAAATATTTACTATATTTTTCAACCATACCTCATACATACTTTGACACCTGAAATTTCTGAAAATGTCTCTATTCTACACATGTAATTATAGTTAATCTGTGCATAGAATCCTAAATTGAAAACCTTTTTGCATATTTTTAAGACAACACTTTCTTGCTTTCTCTGATACTGCTATTAATATCTTCTATGTTTTCACTGCTCTTTTTTCCTTCAGAATTTCATTAACTGAATGTTTCATATCTAGGTTCAATAATTTTATTATCCTGATTTCCATATATCTTTTTTTGTTTGTGTTCTACTTTTGAGAATATTTCTTTAATTTTATTTTCCTAACTGTACACTGATTATTTAAATTCTGACACGGTACTTTAAACTCTAAGAATTCTTATTCACTGTCTTTCTTTTTTTTTATCAGTCCTAGGACTTGAACTTACAGCCTTTTCAGTGAGCTACATCTATTCCAGCCCCCTCTCTCATTTTTTTTATTACCAGGGATTGAACTCGGGTCCTTGCGCTTGCTCACCAGGCAGCGAAACCATTGAGCTAAATCCCCAGCCCCTCCCCCTCTCTCTTTTTAAGACAGGTCTCACTAAATTGCCCAGGCTGGGTTCAACCTTCTGATCCTCTTGCATCAGTCTCCTACAGTCTTAGAATTATAGTCATGTGCCACCACATGAGGCTGTATCAGTGCTTTTCTTTCTTTCTTTTCTTTTTTTTTTATTAAATTCTTTTATTGGTACATTTTAGGTACACAACACAATTATATTTCTCATTGGGAATTGTACCTTTACATAATGCATCTTGGTTCT